CATCCGAAGAAGTGGGCTGTAGTCCACGAAAGCTTATGCTCTAATAAATTTGTTAGTCTCTAAGGTGCCACAAGTCCTCCTGTTCTTCTTTTATCTCCACTATAGGGCTTGTCTAGATCACGCAGCTTTTAGCGACAAGGCTGTGTCGACACAGCTTTGTCACTAAAAGTCAGCATGTGTAAACGCTCTTTGTCGGTACTTTGTCAACTTTTTTGCCGACAAAATACTTCCAGCCCTGCGAGCGGCGTTAGTTTAGTCCGCATTCACACTGCTACTTGCGTCCGCAAAACTTTTGTCTTTTGCGGGCGGGGCAGGAGGAGGAAGGGAGGAGGGCTTTTTTAAGTACCCGTGAAAGACAAAAGCTTTGTCGACAACTTCTCAGTGTAGACATACCCAATGTTATCTCACTGTAGAATCCTACCACTCATTTATCATCTTTCTGTAAAACAAAGCAAAAAAAAACCCGTCACACATTTGTGGTAGTGAAGTCTTGGTGTGAGATCAGAGTTGTGGGCCCCAATTTAGCAAAGCATTTTTATCGCTATTCAGCAAAGCACATAAGCAACTGCTTAACTTTGAACATGTGCTTAGGTCCCACTGAAATCAATTATTTAAAAATTAATCAAAACGAACAGGAGTACTTGTGGCACCTTAGAGACTAACAAATTTATTAGAGCATAAGCTTTCGTGGACTACAGCCCACTTCTTCGGATGTATATAGAGTGGAATAAATATTAAATTAAAAATTAATGTGATTTAAGCGCATGCTTAAAATTAAGTGTGTTTATGTGCTTTGTGGAATAAGGATAGACAGTTAAATTGGAAGATTAATTAGGAAGAAATAAGGGTATCTGAAAATATCTACATATTTTTCCTGTTTCTGCTGTGGCACTAGCTCCTTGGATTACAAATAGTGGCATCTTTAGGGCGATGTGCAGTGTGGTAAACTGATACATATGCTATGCTAATTTTGTGTGTGTATACATACTCATATACAGTAACAAAACTTGGTTGGAAGTCCTAGGTGTTTCCTTCTGATTCATTATTTTTTGAAGTTGACCTTACCTGTCCCAATTGCTAACAGTGTATTCAGAGTGACTTTTTTTAACCATATAAAAATATTTTTTTGTTCCTTTCTACTGCTATATGATTTTTCTCATGTTCACTGAGCAAATACTCTAGTTTAAAAATAAATTATACTGAAGAGTTCATTTGTTATATACACTATAATGTACTACTTGATTGCTCACTGTCTCATTCAGGGGTGGTATGATGAAGCACTTACACAATTTGAAAAAATTAAGGAGACGGATTTTCAAGCTCTGTATCAGCTGGGTGTAATGTATTATGATGGATTGGGGACCAAAGAAGACCCAGTAAGTCATTATCCAACTGTCTATATTTAGTTTTTCTTCTAACCTTACTAGATAGACCCTTACATAACTTTCCATATTTAATAGACCTTAAAAAATTAAAACAATCAGTACAACATATTATCAAAGTGAGGTCCCAATCCTGCAATTTGTTCCATGCAGGCAGAGCTTTGTGTGCTCAGGCAGAGGCTCATTAATGAGTTGGGGTAATGGTCCAGGTTAAACATTTCCTCATAAAATATTTTCCTTTGAACAGTATTGTTTTAATACATTTGCAACTCAATGTATTAGTCTCTGTCCTCAATGGCAAAGAACAATGTTGTCGTTTGGAAAGCACAAGGCGTTCACTCTATGTCGAAAGCAAATAATATATACCAGTAGTAATTTTCAAGTTACATTTAAACAGAAATTAAACCCAATAAAAATAAAAGCCAAGAAACAATTTCTAAGGTTTCAAGCCACAAGACAAATTTTCTTTAAAAAAAAATCTGTTACAGAAAAGACATAATTTGAAGAATTTACAAACAATATGTATTTGTAGCGCCTAACACAGCAGGGTCCTGGTTCATGACTGGGGCTCTGAGGCACTGTGGGAATACAAATAAATAATAATAATAATTCTACAGAAAATCACCCTTCTAGCACTAGAGGGCAGGAATATTATTAAATTGTACAACCAAAGGATTACATTTGATTTTTCTCTCAGTCAAAAACAGTATATTAGGTAAAGCAATAAAGTCAATGTAACATAACTCCATTGGGTCCTGTGGCACCTTTAAGACTAACAGAAGTATTGGGAGCATAAACTTTCGTGGGTAAGAACTTCACTTCTTGCATCTGAAGAAATGAGGTTCTTACCCACGAAAGCTTATGATCCCAGTACTTCTGTTAGTCTTAAAGGTGCCACAGGACCCTCTGTTGCTTTTTACAGATTCAGACTAACATGGCTACCCCTTTGATACATAACTCCATTGCTAATTCTCTGCCAGTGATGTGTCCCGAGACCTTTTTATACTCTTGATCAGAGAATAGTGCCATTAACACATCTCTAACACTTATGTGGTTCTGGGAATGTGTTACAAGACAGCGTATGGCTGTGGAAAGGTGAGAGTCCTCTTCATGACTCCCCTCTTTCTAATAACTTCAGTCAAGGGTTCCCCCCCAAAAAGAAACCAAAACCTGTAAAAATTACTATTTAATTTATTCATTGGTTAAACGTCATATTCAAGACCAAGTCAACAAGAGAAGTAACGTCTGTTCTTTAAGGCCCCAAGTCCTGCAACTGGATTCATGCAGATAGACCACAGTATGCACATGAAGCCCTACTGACATCAGTGGAGTTCTGCATAGGCACAGGGATTTGTTCAAATGAAGCCAGCTGCCGGATCAGGACTTAAGTGCATCATTCGAATTTGTACCTAGTTAGAAGTTTTTTCTGTCTAGTCCAAGGTGGAAGAGGGCGAGAAAAATAATTAGATACTAGAATTATGTACAGTAGTTGTGAACTCTTCAACTGTAGAGTATTCTCCTATAACGAACTATGGTTTGAAGTTAGAAATTACTACACAAATTGGATACAGAGATTCAGCATTTTAAAATAAGGAATACAAAAATAAAAGGAGAGCCCAATTTCTATAAATTGATATTTAGGTATAGACCAGAAAATGGTTCATTAAACTATAAAAGTTCCATTGGATTCTTACCATTTAGTGTCAAATATGGTCCTGTCCAGCCTCTGAATCGTCACCTTTCTCCTGTGTCTTCTCCTGTATTCTATTAATGTGTGCTTTAAGGCACCATATAAAGGAATCTTATTTGCTTTATTTACACAGTGGGATTTGGCCTAGTACACTGCAATGTTGAAGTCTCTGGACCAGATGCTACAAATCCTTAGCCACACTTGTAACTTTATGCTTATGAATAGTCCCATTGACTTTAGCTAGACTACTAAAAGGCATAAAGTTACTCACATGAAGGATTGGGGTCTTAGGGCTTGTCTTCACTACTGGCTAAATCAACACTGCTGGGATTGATGCAGAAGGCATCGATTTAGCGGATCTAGTGAAGACTCTGCCATCGACTTCAGTAGTCCGCCTCCCCAAGAGATGGAAGCTAGGTCGACTGGGGAACATCTCCTGTCAACATATAGACATTGCTTTAAGTCGATCTAAGCTACATCGACAAGTTACGTAATTAAGATAGACTTACCTCATTAGCATAGACCAGGCCATAATATATTAGGGAGAGAATTACATCTCTAATCCTATATTTTCTGATGATTTGGTTTATTAATTAGGCTAATGATATAATTTGACAAAGAACAATGCACATCTTAGAGATGTATCAGATACAATAAATATTACTTTTGCTAAGTGAAACCGAAAATACTTTTTTCTCTACATCTGCATTTTTATATTTGCGTCATACTAAAATTGAAGCATCTTACTTTTTTAATCCCCTTTCATAATAATCCCGAGAAGTGTTCTTCCATGAGAATAAAAATGTCAATTCTAGTGGCATTTAAGTAACCAAATATGCCCTACTGCTATTGCAACCACTTTACTTACTTTGGCACTTAAAAAATGCATGTTTCTTGTTTTGTTTTGTTCTTTTCCTTCAGTGAGCTAGAAAAGATGGCTTAAATTTATTGCTTTCATATTGTCAACAGATATATTTATAACACCTAAAGATAAAGTTGACAATTTTTCTGCTGCTATTATCACTGCGGAACTTAATTCCAGAGTTATCTTTGCAATTTCCTAGTTTAGCACATTTATACTATCGTCCTTGAAGATATGAAGGCCCAGATCCATTAGCACCCAGAGGCTCTTAACGGAATCAGTACTGTGTTGTACTAGTTATAATAAAAGTACAGCCCCATGGGGTTTACAATCTGAATAGAAAAAACATTAAGGAATGCAATATCCAACCAGAGTGATGGTTTGAAAATGTTTGTTCGTTCCACATTAGCTTGATTTTGCTTTATGTGTAGTATAGAAGCAAAAGGAGACAATGGGAGGAATGAGTTGCTAGGATCATGGGAGTAGGAGAAGAAAGGGATTGGTTATTGAGGGGCATAGATATGAAGGGACAGGGATATGGGGAAAGAAAAGAATGGGAAGAGGAGGAAGAGAAGGGTGGAAATGAGAATGGAGGGCAGGGAAAATATGGCTGGCAGTGGAGGTGCTGGGGGAGAAGGGTAGACGAAACGGCCAATTAACAGAGAGGAAAGGATGCTACTACCTTTATTGCTTAGTGAGATTAGAGCAATGTTGCTTTTTCTCAGGTTTCTATTTTTTTTTTTTTTTTAGTGTTTTGCCTGAGTTAGATCCATTATGGTATACTTTGGAGTAAAGCTTAGGGCTGGCTTTCTTTGGCTGTTTATACTTGGTAATATGAGTAGTGAATGGCTGGCCTTCCTTTTAACAGAGGATTATTTATATACACCTTTTTAATACTTACATGTGGTATCTACTATTAAATCCTTACAATACTAGCATTTCCCGACTGCTCACTAACTGAATGCTTAGGATGATGTACTGTGCAGCTGCTGACAGCTGGCACTGACTCAGCTGTTCTTTTCCAGTGTACCCTGACATATTTTTTTCAACATTGCTCTCAGAGATTGTTATTGAGGACACTATAGTTACATTTTGCTATTACATACTTATACCAAATCATGTACTTCCATTAACCGTACTTTGTGATTTAAGGAACAGCATGTTGAAGAAAAGTTATAAAAAAAAATGGAAAATTTAATACATTAAAAACTGTCCTAAATCTAATGCAAGTACAAGTCCTTTAATCATTTTAAATTTTGTAATAATTATTTGTTTTTCTTATGCAGAAGTGTGTTTGTAAGAGAATTTAGCACATGAGAAATGTGCCAGTTTAAGAACTCTGGGAGTCCTCCATTAAACCACAGCACAGGTTCAGGTTGAGGGGCAGTGAAGCATAAGTTTCCATACACTATCCTGCCAGTATACCTCAACCATTTCCTAGAGGCACCAACTTCCGGGGGGTAAAAGAGTAGCTCAGTCTTCTTCTCTAGTCAGTGCATAGCTTCTTTTATGAAACTTAGTAAGTGTGCCAGTTGTGAAGATACAATTTTATAATATGGATTGTGACCACCAAATTCATTTCAGAGGCATGAAACACCATAAGAGAGCAGTAATTTTTGCATTTGAATAGGTAACTTAGATATGAAAAGCTCCATTATCCTGTTACAAGTCTCCTAAGCCATCCAGCCCCACAAGTATATATTAAGATGGTATTGTTGATTCAGATTCCTATATTGGGGGCTGATCTTTATATAAATACTTAGCTTGATTAGATATACTATAGGTACAGAAGTATATAGATTGATTGTTTAATATTACAGTATACAGATGTAGCAGCCATTACAGATTTTAAGAGTGTAACCTTCTTTGCTGGCAAAAGATGGGCCAAAACCTCTGATGCCTAAAAAGTAAAACAGAGGTGGGGCCTACAACATCTAGCCAAGGAATTCAGGAGAGTGACCATAAGAACATAAAAACGGCCATACTGGGTCAGACCAAAGGTCCTGTCTTCCGAAAGTGGTCAACACCAGGTGCCGCAGACGGAATGAACAGAATAGGTAATCATCAAGTGATCCATCTCCTGTCGCCCATTCCTAGCTTCTGGCAAAGAGAGGCTAGAGACATCATCCCCACCAATCATGGCTTATAGCCATTGAGGGACCTATCCTCCATGAATTTATCTAGTTCTTTTTTGAACCCTGTTATAGGCTTGGCCTTCACAACATCCTCTGGCAAAGAGTTCCACAGGTTGACTGTGCGTTGTGTGAAGAAATACTACCTTTTGTTTGTTTTAAACTTGCTGCCTATTAATTTCATTTGGTGATCCCTAGTTCTTGTGTTATTAAGGGAGTAAATAACACTTCCTTATTTACTTTCTCCACACCAGTCATGATTTTATAGACCTCTATCATATCCTCCCTTAGTCATCTCTTTTCCAAGCTGAAAAGTCCCATCTTATTAATCTCTCAAATAGAAGTCGTTCCATACCCCTAATCATTTTTGTTGCCCTTTTCTGAACCTTTTCCAATTCCAATATATCTTTCTGAGACGTAGTGACCACATCTGCATGCAGTATTCAAGATGGGGGCATACCATGTCTTTTTATCTATCCCTTTCTTAATGATTCCCAACATTGTTAGCTTTTTTGACTGTCACTGCACATTGAGTGGATGTTTTCAGAGAACTATCCACAATGATGCCAATATCTGTTTCTTGAGAGGTAACAGCTAATTTAGACCCCGGCATTTTATACGTATAACTGGGATTATGTTTTCCAATGTGCATTACTTTCTATTTATCAACATTGAATTTCATCTGCCATTTTGTTGCCCAGTCACCCAGTTTTGTGAGATCCCTTTGTAGCTCTTCGCAGTCTGCTTTGGACTTAACTGTCTTGAATAGTTTGTATCATCTGCAAATTTTGCTATCTCACTCTTTACCCCTTTTTCCAGATTATTTATGAGTATGTTGAATAGCACTGGTCCCAGTACAGACCCCTGGGGGACACCACTATTTACCTCTCTCCATTCTGAAAACTGAACATTTACTCCTATCCTTTGTATCCTTTTAACCAGTTACCAATCCATGAGAGGACCTTCCCTCTTATCCCATGAGAGTATAGGGTTGTTCGCTACAAAACTTGGCACAACAGAGTAAATCCAGTTTTGTTCAGTGCTCCCATTTTATAAGGAATGGCTTTAATTTCATAAAATAATTGTAGTATTGTTAAACCTCGTGAAGGTGGCAAACTGATCTTGAATGATGGTCCACAGTTGGTACAATGAAAGCTAGACGAAGGATTTATGATGTGTCATCCTTATCAAACTGACATCCCACACAATATCAATTTTTAGAGTAGTAGTTCAACTTTTTCACAAAAATAGAGCATAATGAAAATTAGTTTTTGCTTTTTTAGAAATGAAAATATTTAAAATGTAAGAAGACTCTTTACACTACCTTAACTGATCACATCCATACCTTTTAACATTTAGAGAGTTTTAAAACTGAAAAGTTCTTTGTGTGTAATATGTAACTTACTTTACCTGGAATTTTAATGTTTATCCTTTTTACCTTCTGCAATTATGATTAAAATCTGTTTCTCTCAAAGGAAAAAGGAGTGGAGTACATGAAAATAATCATCAACTCTAACGCTCCTAAAGCAAGACATTTAAAATATGCTGCTGCATACAATCTTGGCAGATCTTATTTTGAAGGATGCGGTGTTAAGCATTCAGATAAAGAGGCTGAAAGGTAATTTAATCTAATAATTTCTCCATGATTTAAGATACCATTTTGTAATGTTACTTAGATTTCCTCCCTATTTTTTAGGCTGTGGATTATTGCTGCAGACCATGGGAATCCAAAGGCAAGTGTAAAGGCTCAAAGTACCCTGGGAATGTTTTATTCTACATCAAATCCAAAAGATCTGAAAAAGGTAATGCCAATTTCTGCCTTTTCCATATCATGATTCAATGCCCAGATTCATTTTGGATCTGTGAAGCATTCCAGAAAGGAGACTTTTGTACCTTATTTATAACAATATATGCTCTATTATTTCTAGACTTTTTCACCCATTTAGCCCCAAACTGGCATATTTACAGAAAGAAAATTTCTTATTTTAATCCCTTGACATTGGTCAGGGCCAGCTTCAGCTTTTTTGCCGCCCCAAGCGGCGGGGGGGAGAAAAAAAAAGCCGATCGACGGCACTTCGGCGGCAGCTGAATCCATCCGCTTCAGTCTTCTGCGGCAATTCAGCGGCAGGTTCTTCACTCCCTCTCTTCCTCCTCAGTGGCACTTCAGCAGCAGCTCAAAGAGGAAGAGAGGGACTGAGGGACCTGCTGCCAAATTGCCACCGAAGACCCGGATGTGCCACCCCGATCAGGAACGGAGTGACACCCCTTTCTATTGGCCGCCCCAAGCACCTGCATCCTTATCTGGTGCCTGGAGCCGGCCCTGCATTGGTAATCAGGATTTTCTAATGAAACAATTAGCAGGAGTTGGGAGCATCAGATCTGAAACTCAAGAATCAGCATTATGAAGTGGGATTAAGATTTATGGTTCTCGATATGTTTAAGAAACGACCAATGGTAGTGGCGGGGCACAGGACAGCATGAGTAAAGGAAATGAATGTAAGTCTTGGAGTGGCTCTGCATTTATTACTATGCAGACACCTCTCTCCAGCTGCTAGATAAAAGAGCTTTAAAGAAAACAGACAGTATGCAAGACAGTTAGGCTATAGGCTAGATTGGGGAATGTCTATTTTTACTAGAAGCAAAGGGTTATGTAAATATTTAAAAAATGACAAGAACTTTGTGCCTGTTCTGTAGGCATTTTTCTGGCATTCAGAAGCTTGTGGCAATGGAAGTCTGGAGTCACAGGGTATACTTGGTGTTATGTATCTCTATGGACAAGGCATATGTCAAAATACAAAGGCTGCTTTGGAGTGCCTGAAGGAAGCAGCAGAACGTGGAAATGTCTATGCTCAAGGCCATCTTGTGGAGTATTACTACAAAAGAAAATGTTACACAAAAGCTGCTGCATTTGCCAGAAGGTGAATTAATATTAGTTAAATTTATTAGAATTCTTTATATAAAATCATAGAAGTTAAAGATAAAAATAATTCTTTAAGATCAAGTTCAAATTCATGCCAATCAAGCATGTATTTCCCTACCAGAGATGTATCAGATTTAACTGCCATACTTAATCTTTAAAAAGTGAATGACAGAACTTAGACAAAATTAAGACCCTAATGATTATGAAGCCTTCCATTATTCACTTCAACTCTGTCCTCCTTGATCACAGGGAAGCAGAAATAATCACTGGAGAAGAAATTGAGATTGAAATATCAAAACAAGCGTACATTGAAAAGTATTACCATTTCTCCAAGTTCATTTGATAACATTTTAACTCAGGTACATAAAGGATGGGACAGGAGCTTATATACCCTGTGTCTGACCCCTAGAAAATAATGTAAATGATATAGGATGTAATGTAAAAAACATCCAGTCTCTATCAACTCTATCTTGTCTCAGTGCTGCCGAAGCTTCATGCAGTGGATGAGCAGAACAACAAAGAAGAGAGGCCTGTCTCTCTGATTTAATCAGTCATTTCACATAGCCTGCAGCCATCCTCCATGTTTACCAAAATACATAAAAACTGGAAGTGGCTTCATACATAGAGACAGACAAATAAATGACTTGAATAAAAAGTCCCTCCAAATCCAAAGTGAACTTTCTTTTGAGTTTCTGAAGTGTTTGGATAAGGGTTTGACTCTTGTTTCCATCCAGAAAAAGAAAAGTGCTGCTCTCCACTTCCAGTTTCCAGCTGGCCAAAAAACTGTCAGAATATTAAAACGGCCCTCCTCTCCCTAACAGAGTTCCAACCACTGCCCAGATAGCCGTCCATTTACTTGTCAACAGCGCGTGGATCCCAATATTTCCAATACTTTTGGGATTTCTTCTGGGAACAGGGAAAGACGACCCCTCCATGGCTTTCTGGTCTTCCTCAATCAGGTTTTTTTAAGGATGGCTAGGTTATCTATATACACCATTCTGCAATTTTACTAGCCAGCAGATCTATTCCACTTCCCCTCAATCTCCTCACTCTACTTTTTTTTTTTGTTAGGCAGCATTTTACGGTCTCCTTTTCCCCAGGAAAATCTAAGAGTTTCTGTGGATCCCACTGCTAATCCATCTGGCACTTCTAAGATTTCAAGTGGTAGTACTTTACAGTACACCATCATAATGTGTTCTCAATTCAGAAATATTGCTTTGCTTCTCTATGTAAACAGGATAAGGTGCAATCGAAGAATTTGCCCAGCCATGATGGTTTAGGTTCAATAATACATTCTGGTTGAGCTGAGGGCCAAGTTGACTGATTTCTGTTTTGTTTACACAGTGGGTGAAATCCAGAACACACTGGAGAGGAGAATTATGTTGGCCTCAGTTTTACAATTTCTACGTAACCAAATGTCCCATTATAAAACCCCCAAATATAGTGTTTGCTAGCAAAGCCTAATATTACAGATTTAACCCATCAGTAAGATCATCAAGTTTCTAAAGGAAAAAGAGACAGGCAGAGTGATTCTACAAGCTATATACGAAAAAGACGGTTACTCACCGTTGTAACTGTTGTTCTTCGAGATGTGTTGCTCATATCCATTCCAAACCACCCCCCCGTCCCCACTGTCGGAGAAGCCGGCAAGAAGGAACTGAGGGGGCGCCGGGTCGGCTGGGGTATATATTCAGCGCCATGAAGGCGCCACTCTAGGGGGCTCCACAGCC